TAACATTGTAGCCAGGGAGAGCTATTTCCGCGTCGGTGAACGAGTCATCAAGCCAAGTCTCGTTTATTGTCACGATGTGCGGTTTGTGCTCGTCGCAGGATAGTCTAAGTTCGTCCATTTTGTTTCGTAGGCTGCAAATGTTGAGATGAAGTAAGCGAAGACCTTTCATCAGAGATGGCGAGGGCTGTGTTGGTCCAGGATTTAGTGAAACGTCGTTAGACAGGAGAATTAGGTTTGCAGCTAATGCCATATTCAATAATTTCGTTGCATTTATGAGTTTGACACTTCCCGTTGTTTGCGATCGAGCCTTCTTGCTGGCTTGTTTATCGCCGAGTGGTTTCACTGCTTTGATGTTTACTGTGTTCGCAGTCTTTGCTACCATCAGTTTAGATAATCTTTCATCTCTGGGTAGTTTCGGTAGACATTCGGCCAGTTTACAAACTATCAAACTAACTAAGAGATACACTAAAATGGAGCAAACGGCGGACGGAACGCAAACGCAAAACATTCGCCATATTCTCTTGTAGGTTTGCGCACTCCAAAAAACGTACTCACCCTGCGGGAACCTTCAAACAGTTAATAATAATAGTGATATTTCTTTGAATGTACTTGCATCACTAAAACGAAAGCCACAGCCATATCATTGAGGATTAAAATTGACTGAGAGAACGCAATGTCTGAAAATGGTAACATGGGCTTACTTCCTACCTCTATCACTTCCAGTTCGCTTCAACTTTCACTGATCACCGCTTCAGATTAAAAGAGACAGCTACTAAGAATTGGTGGAACTATATTGCGGCCGATGATGTGATACGAGGTATTGCAATCCTTTTTCGGTAAAAATACAGGAAGTGAAAATGAAATTTGAAACGAAAAGAGTTTAACTAACATTTCATTGGCTAAAGTAATTGTTCTCGTCTGAAACAAGTCAAACAATGCTGACTGTATGTCGGTGCCAACCCACGTGAAAGTAATTTTCAGAAAGCTTTTCCTACTTACCCTGCGTTTCCATATGAAGGCCCATGCTGGTCAAAATTACACTCTAAATAAATGCTATTGGCTGGACTGTTTTTTCATGCTACTATCATGTTTTAGTGTATCTGTGTCGCTTTCTTGTTTGCATTAATATTTGATTTATTTGTGTATCAAGCAAGAAAAAATTACAAATTACAAATTTTTTTAATGTATATGTACATATTTTTTTGTATCATGATAGTATAAATTTTTTTCCATGGTACTCAAAAATTTTGGGGATTGTGTGCTCATTTTTTGGATCCATGATGCATTGCGGTCATTCTGGAGAGAAGTATGGGTTGAGGGTAAGTTCCCGCCAAAACGGGCTGTCGTCGCTGCCATCTTGGAATATGTCTTCGTCAAGTAGAGAAACGAGAATAGCTAATATAGCATTAAACGCCATCCGAGAGATTAATTCTCTATTAAATACATCAGCCAGACAATCATCTTCTTCTGGTACCGATAACCAATCTCCAGGGCAAGCTGGAAGTAGACCTAGCATTGTTCTCAGCGAGCTTCGTTCTCGTTTCCGAACTCTGTCGGGCAACGCAACCAATGCTCCCCGGAATGTTGCATCGTCATCCCGTAATATTGGAAGAACAAATCGTACTGCAACAAGGGATTGTGCGATCAAAGATATTGTAATTGTCGGGGCAAACACTGAAAAAACACCACAAGCAAGAGAAGAAAAGCTGCAACTGGAAAGAAAGAATCGAGT